GATGTAAGTGACAACATTACAATGGGCCACGAAAATCACAACCAAGGCCCAACAGAAAGCAAGCCCATCAAACTCCCTTCTTCTTCCTCTGCAACAACGGACAAGCAGAGAGGATTACGGAAAAATAGCGATGACTTCTTCTTCCTATACAGCAACAGACAAATTGAGGATAACACAGAAGAAATCATGGAAAAGAAATTTTGAATTTCTCTTATCTTTAGGATTGTATAAAAGAAACCATTTTTGTAAGAAAAAGGGTGTGTGTGAGTTTTATTGAAAAACTTTGTTCTTGAGTGTTCTCTCTTAAACCTTGTTCTTGGTTAGTTCACAAGAAGGGCTCGCGTGCGACGGGAAAGAACCCGGAAAATCAGAGAATTTGGCACAGAACCAATCTTTATACATGTCCAGTTCTTGCTGCATACTAAGCATCGTTGTTTGTTGTCTGTCAAAGGCCATGCGCACCGTTGCCATAATTGATGGCTCCCATGTAAACACTTGCTACAAATCATAAAATGTTAAAACAGAAAACACAACTAACAAATTTGAATAAAATATGTAATATTTTAGAAAATGATTGTTACCGCAAATCCGGTCTATCGTGGATCCGGTCTGTCGTCCTCGACCAGTACGACCAGAACGCACAGCCTCAAATCCCTCTCGTGACCTGTTAAAAAAACAGCATGAATGTATCAAAATTATTCACCGTTTAAAAGTTTCCATATCAAAAACAAGACAAAAGAAAAGGTTTACATACAAAATTTTAATTACAAAACTCGTTTCTATATAAAAGAAGATTAAATCTTTAGCAAATCTAGCAAATCAAACCAAATATAATCCATTGACAAAACACGTTTTCTTTTACTAGTACATATATAATCTACCAAATCCTAGCAAATCTAAACAATTTTCTACAAGTAATTATAAACAAAAACGAGTTTATACACATCTGAACAAAAACGAATTTTCTACGAGTAATCTAAACAATCTTCTTTCTTCTCGTTAGCATTAATCTGGTTTTTAATCTTCTTCTTTTCCAAAAACAAAACGAACATCTATCTAACTCTAATCAATCTAAACCAATTTCAACAATCAATTCCAACATCCCAACATAAATCTACACCTAAACTACATTTGAACAAACAAATGAAATTCAAACATGAGATCAATCCTTAAGCTTCTAAATCAAAATCAAACATGAAGATAGAAGAAACAAAACAAACAAGCAAAGTCCCAATTGAAAAATAAAGGTTGAATTTTTGAGAGATCACATTGCGCAAAGCTCAAATCTTTTGAAGTTCACTCTGAAATCTAATATATAAAAGAAGGTCAGCACTCTCCATCTATGCGACACGTAGCGGCGTCTATGATTGACATGTAGCACTTAATTTTTTTTGAAAAAGTTTAATTTGTTAGTTTCGTCTTTTCGTCTTCTCCTTTCATACCTTTACACCTTTTCGCCTTGCAGACAAGCAGAAACGGTTTTGTTGTTCCAAATTCCTTTCGTATCTCTTTTGAATCTATTTTAGATGTTGATCTAGAATTACACAAAAAGATTAAATAGAAAGAGTAGTAAGGAGACGCATTCAATCCTAGAGACAATTCATCTTCTAGGGCTTCTCCTATCAGTCACAAGTACGTACTATTCATGTATTCTATGAATTTTTCATATAGTCAATTAGGAGGAGAAGAGCAATTTTCGTTTCTTCTGTGGGAAATACAATGTCCCCTCTTTTGTTGAACAATGACTCTCGCTCTTGTGGCTGAATTTAGTATCAATATCTAGCTAATACTAAATCTCATTTTTGAAAAGCAATTATATGTGGTGGTTTCCACTGAAATAACAAGGAAATGCAATATGTAATATCAACGAAAAAAATCAACCTTATGATGACTAAGGTGAGATGTCTAACTCTTCATATGTTTGTGGCTTTCTTAGCTGTGATACTAGGTTTCTAATTTGGAGGCTACGCTTGTTATCAAGTTTACAAATGCTCACAAAAATATGGTTGAGTTCATACAAGGGACATGTAACATATGTTTAACTAAGAAAAGATACATAAACGTAGATTTCGTGAAGCCTGTTTTAATTGTATGTTAAAAATATATTATCAAACTCATATGTCTTAATTCAAGTTGATGAAAAAATGATTATATAACAAACGTGGCCAAACATCCACAAATTGAGTTTGCTTGAGCCATAGTGAAATTCTTTTTTTCCTTTTTCTAATTCTTAATATAACCTAGCTTGTGATAGCTCTTTATTGGATTCATTTGTTTTTATTTTTCTTCCACTTTTATCCATTTAGAGAATTTGCTTTGCGAAAAGGTGACATTGAATACTGTAGTTTCCGATTTCCCAGTTTTAAGATCGCTGATTTTTAATATCGTTTGCCAATCTACAAGATTTGTCAAAGATAAAAAAATTAGCAAGTCAACAACGAATGTCTCACCTTGGTAAAAAAATTAAACTAATATTGTTAGCCTCTTTTTTTAGGTAACTGAGAGCATCCTTAATGGTGACACCTTGTGGGTGTCTTTGAATATAAAATTATTAAAATTTGAGTAAAAGGAAGAAAGAGAGTGTTTTTGGTTGAAATAGTGAGGTGTATTGAAATATAAAATTAATAAAATTTGAGTAAAGAAAGAAGATGGATGATATTTTTGGAGAGAGGGTGTCTATAGGAAGAAATTTTGATGGGTGTTTTTGGGTGTGTTTAAATATAAAATTAATAAAAGTTGAGTAAAAAATGAAAGAGAAGATATAAAATTGAAAAAAAAGATGAAAGAGAAGGTATAAAGTTCAGTAAAAGAAAGAGAGATAGTGTTTTTAATATTTGTTTATTTAAAAACACTCTAAGAGTGTCATGGTTAAGGATGGTCTGAGTATCATTGTCTTCTCGACAAAAAAAGATGCTTTCGTTGAGAAACGAGATACGTTGACCTTGAAGCCAAATCGTTGACTACCTTCATAACTATCGGTATATTGTTTGTGTGATTTTTTTATTTCTCGAAACGTTCAATGATGTCTCGTTATGTTATTCCTGCACTTCCAACAGTAATCTTAATGCCCGAAAGGCAGAACACTATGCTCTTACGTTTGAAACAAGTGAGTTTATAGATCTTCTTATTTTTTCTTGGTGCTTTCCTTCTAAATTAAACAATGTAATGCTTGAATTTTCCATGCATGATGCATGTTTTTGACAGGTCATCCTCAAAGTCAACAAGATCACATGAACAAGTGATAAAAATCAAACAAAAATAGATTCCTTTATTGATCCAAATTCAGAGCATGTCAAGGTGCAATGACTAATTTATGTGTGCCACAACTCCACTCGGCCTGTACAATGTGAGACTAAATTCCCAACTAACTCCCTCAAGTATATATGTCCTTAACCTCTCCACAAAAAAACTAATCAAATAATATTTTTAGTTTATTTCAGCTCTTTTGCCAGCTCAGCTGAAGTTGAACACTCCTTCTGTCTAACTCCTCCTTCTTTTGTAGTTATCTAATGGATATATACATGTAGAGCTTTATCAATAGGCGATGCTTTTTTAGCACAAGGTGAATCATGACGGGTTCTTAGATCTTAGAGGATGACGAACTCTTAATCAAACCCGTGCGTATGCGCGAGCATTAGTCTAGTTGAGGATAAAGAATCTAATTGCAAGTAACAAAACAT